CTGGCGTGCGGACGAAGAACTTCGAAGACAACCCCGGTGCACTTAAGTGGCATACAGTACTAGGATCCTGGAAGCGAGTCTCCGACACGCAGTAGACATCCATTCCCAAAGTGTCCATTGTACGCGCCAGACATGCATCAGAGTCCTCATGTTGAAGGCCCCAGATTCAGTGGCTGACGAGGCTTCAGAATATGCAATCTATTTTGTGGTAAACTACTTACCGAGGTACTTGGCAACGAACTTTGTCGAGTGACGAATAAGTTGTCTGAGGGAATGTTACGGGTCGGAAGAACGGGTAAAAGGAGAGGGTTGGGTACGGAAGATAGAGTTAAACAAAAGCTAGGATATTTGAGCAGTAGCCTACTTATCACTACCCACCCCGCTCGATGCAATGGGCAGCGTGGTCCTGATTATCCTGCGCGACGACCGATGCAGTATGGAATTATTTTTTGGTTGTACAAGCATTTGAGTTTGATGGACGGGTATAGCCATTAAGCAGGAGAACGATTAGAGTTCTCGTCCAAAGCCTTTATTTCTGACAAGAACCTGATCGCAAGGCAGCGGGTAAAGTGAAATAGAGGCCCATTTACTTGGATCAATTACTTCTCTACCATTTTACCGACTGAGACGCTAACTCGAGTCGAACCCCCAACCTGGAGGACCAGGAGACTGGACTTCGTCGGACCTCTATCCATTGACCTTCCAGGCCTGATTAGATCTGCGGTTTGACAAAAGCCATCCCGTATAGCTCGTTGGATCAGAGAGGTGCACAAATCATCACACCACGTCAATGTGCAGTATATATATATATATATAATGCATGGTATAAACCTATCAACAGATCCTAGTGATCACCGACGATGTGGAAGACTGTTGTCACGCATCATTTCGGTTCATTCAGGTTTCTATGTACGTGTTTTAGTTTGCGAAACGCTGCTCAGATTTTCAGGTTTATATGCAGTAAAACTAGAGATGCAGTATCAGTTACTGCATTGAGAATGTCACCTAGATTGATGATAAAACGTTTGCAATACAACTGCTAAGCTCGGTGAACAACTGAACGTCACCTTACTTCTTGGTATTTCAAGCTTGTGCCAACGGTTGCCGCACGAATACCATTTTAAGAACACAATTAGCATAGACCACGCTGCTTTTGCAGTCTGTACCATCAGTCATGTGCAGTATACCGGTTGTTATTTTAGATTCTGCACTTGGATTGTTCATAGACATTATGTTACTGGGATTTGACCACCTAAATTTATCTCCCGAAACCTCACTTACGCAGAACGAGTCGCCTGCAGATTAAGGCGCCATTAAGCACTTTCGGTATGGTCGACAACCAAGCATTCAGTTTCAGTTTAAACAACCATTAAGCATGCATTTCCGTGAGATGCTTTTGGTTGCCCATTTGGGTGAACAATAGGTGTAAAACAGGAAGGTTGAAAGAGAGAAAATTGAAAAGTTCAGTGGACTAATTCTGCAGAGAAATTGAGATGATGTACTAACGCCACTGGTAACGACACCCAACCATATCACTCAGTGTTTTTAACCATCGGTTACGACCATCCCGAGGTCCCCAGCCAGGGAGCCCAACGGGACCTATGTGACCCAGACTCCTGGTGGGGGCTTTTACATCCTCATGCCAGGTGTTAGCTTGACCACCCTTGACCTTCTTCTACCCACTATCTGCTTTTGCAACCTATCTGGTGGCATGCGTAACACGTTCCAGCCAACGTAATCTGAGCATTCACCCTTTGTACGGACCACGATCTTCACACATGCTTTACATACTGTCTGACTGTTGCGCACCTCAAGAAACCAAACACATTTCGCATGTTAACGACGGATCTTCAACACGTCCAAGTTATGTGAAATTGTGCTGTTGACGTTATATCACGTGCTTATCTGAATACGAAAAAGTCACTCTTCGATATCAGTGCCACGGCTGAGGCCTAAGCGGATGATCTATTTTGCGCACAGGTGGTTCATTTAATCAAGCCATACAAATAACGACTCGGAATGGCACTATTTCATTTTTCATGTTGACAGGCATACGTAGACCTAATGTACCCGCTGCCTTGTTTCTGATACTTAAAAATATTTTTGTTATCGGGGTATCACAGCTACACTTCGCTTGAGTACTGCACGAGACGTCTGGTCATTCCCGAACAGATGTTTGTAAGCGGGTGAAACAGTGTGTCGTGTCAACGAAAAAGTGCATTGGCAAGCAGCTGCACCTATTGGAAGGTCTACTATATCTGAGGCTCTCTTTGATCACGTACATATCAAAATTGGATCTAGTAATGCTGTAAAACCGGTAAGCCCTACTCATCATCATCACTGTACAGCGAAAAACAGTGAAGAAAACTTTACTGATCGCTGCCAAACCCACAATGCATACAAGGTTAGTGGTTATATTCAAGGTGGACAGGGGTTGGACCTATATTGAGGGAGGGGGAAGGTGAACCTCTTTGGTCAACACACAGAGTACGCTACCTAAGTGTGCCTGCATACCTTTTCAAGCATGCCTGATAAGAAATGACAAGAACGCCACTGCTGTCGGTTCGCTGCCATGTCTTTCAATGTCTCCAACTAACCAGTTGCGGAGACCTCGACCCGGATGCTACCTAATGGCTCTGTGCATTTCATGCCTCGTCTCTAAATCATTGGTCACGTAACTACCCAAGTAGGCAAAGAACTCCACAATAACTTATTCCTGACCATTTAGTTTCAAAGCGGGATTAGATAACACCCAGTCTTGCAGTATCGTTTTACACTTTAAAGGTGTAAAGTACATACCTAATGAGACAACAGCACTGCTAGTTTATCAAGTGCTATTTGCGTGTCCTCCAAACATTCGAACAGACAGACGATGTCACGGGCGTGCTCCAAATAGCATAGCTTTTACTCATGCGTGTCATCAACTTCGCTAGATAGCCCGAAGTTAGCTCCACCTCTAAATTTACAGTTGAAAAGGTGGCTCGAAATTTGGAAAGATGGATAACATCGCATTATCTCTACCGCCGCTACTGATAGAATATCACAATTCGAAAGTGATTTACTACCTCCATTAACATAAATACTAGGTACGGAACGCACCCGCACAATTGCTTATCAACTAGCATGTAAAAGTTTAGTCGAGTCTTTATCGTTAACTAGCCCGAGACGAAAATGCGTAAAAATGGATGTTTCATTAACAGGTGTTGAACTTGTTCCTGGAACTACATTACAACTACTCGGGGAATTTTCAAACCGCGGAACATGGAGAGCACTGCGATACAGAATCTTGAACAGCGTTTTTTCTTTCACGCAATCCGTCTCCGGTACCAACTCGAACACAGAGGAAGATGCACACACATCTAATTAGCCTCTGCCAGGTGCTCTTATACAAATGCGCGTTTACCTCACCACCTATCACATTGTTTTTAAATGTCATTTATTGTGACCCAGATACTCGTGGAAAAAATCCGAAGATAAAAAGAAAAATAACCCAAAATCCAAGCGTTTTGTGCTACATATTTTTAAATTTCCCCTCAGAAGGAAGTTTATGTATGAGTAACTATGATCTCATATACCATACAGCGGTGCATGGATCTGCACTGCGAACAGATAGTGAACC